CTGGCCTCGCCTGGCCTCGGGGAGCGCGAGCGTGACCGCCGCACCACCCTGTCTGCGCCGGCGCCGGGGGGCCTGCGGGTTTATGTCCCGGGTCCTTGGGTCTTTATGTCCTGGGTCTTTTGGGTCTGTTCTTGCTCAGAAAGGATGACGGAGGAGAAGAAATGTTTAAGTGATGTCATTCTTTTCTGTTTTCCTGCTTTGAAGGAAGCGGGGAGTCGCAGCAGCCATGGCATCCCTTCCCAAGCCTGTAGAAACCTGGTGGGGTTTCCTTGGGAAGTTTGATTCATTCCGGTGTGGAATTAGCTGTCCCAATTTCCTGGTTCTCCATTTTGTATTAGTTTGTTGAAAGAGTGCCGTGACTTAAATATGAGATGATGCCTTGCTCTTTTCTTTTTTTAATATATAAGGAACCTGTTTTCAGTTATAAATGAGCCAAAAAAATGATGCATAGTGTCTAAATTATGTATTTCAAACTTGTATCTTGAAAGTAGGGAGACAAAAAGAAGAGCCTTGGGAAGCTCTGAGTCGGTGGTTCCCAAACTCTGACAGATTGCATGCCACCAATTTAAAACGATATAACCTTAGGTACCACCAGCAATTTTTTCTGTTCAGCTTTGGGTACCACCAACAAACTTTTGTCAGAGAGTAATTATAATAAATCTGTTAACATGTACCATGGACAGGTTGTCTGACTACCACTGGTGGTACATGTACTACAGACTGAGAAATGCTGCTCCAAGTTATTTGGAATTAATATCCTTGTGTTTACATCTTTCACGTCACACAGGAAGTAGAGAGAAGGAAAATCAGGCTTGCGTGAAGCGGAGATGGACTTGGATCTCTACCAAGAACGATAAAAGTGTTTTTGAAACTGCCTAACACAATGTAAACCTAACTTGATATGAAAAGGTTGGAGGGAGTGTTGTTGGGTGGCAGCTGTCCCCTGGGTGGAGAGGCGATGTCAGTGCCACATAAGTGAAATTGCAGGTTTTTATGTACACAAAGGTTGCACAGCACTCAAATTTAACTTTTTTTCCAACTACTCAGTCGGTCTAAGAAAAGATATCACATCTGCGCAAAGAAGCTCTTCTGCCAATTAAATTTAAAGCTTTTGTAATACATGACATACAGGGATTGGCAAAGACAGATTGTGGTATCTTGGTTCTTTAAAAAACAAAAAACCCCAAAAAGCTTGAACATGATTGTCAGGCTAAAGTTTAGAGTTCTGTCACCCAGCACTTTTCAGAGTTACCAAATCACAGACAGTAAACTTGAAAACAGGAGGAACTCCGGGGCACTGCATTTCTGGCAACAAGTCTGGTAGTGCCTAACCCAGACTTTGAATCCACCATAAGCTACTGAATCATTTCATATATTTCTTTTCTTTTTGTCTGAAAATTGATGGAAAAGGTGGTTTAAGTGTGCAGTAGCAATAAAAAGTGATACAGATACTCATATTTTATTTGCTTTTATATAGCTTGTTTACTGCCATAAATAGTGTTAGTTTTTGTACTGTTGCATCTCACCAAGCTGAGTGGTAGAAATGATCATGTAATTTTAGTTGGTTTGTCTAATTTTCTATTTTTCGTTTTAGAAGCGAATTCCCTTACAAGTGGAGGATGGGACACTTCTTCCTGGGGATTGAATTCTAATGCTGAACCTCAAACTCAGCTTATATCTACGACAGCAATCACCAAACCTGTTAGGAGGACGGTAGTAGATGAATCTGAAAACTTCTTCAGTGCCTTTCTCTCTCCAGTGGATGTTCAGAGCATACAGAAAAGTCCAGTGGTGTTTAAACCTCCAACCAAATCTCAGTGGCCCAAAGAAGAAGTGAACAGCACTTTAAAAGAATGTATCCACACCAGTCAGCCAGATGCATCAGTAGTAACAGAGCCAGAAACAAAAGACTCCTCTGTAATTACCCTAGTGGACTTGGAAAACCTTGATATTCCCCAGGAGAAATTAGAAGAGAGTTCTGCAATTAAAAATGATAGCGAGCATGAAGAAACCGCAAATGAAAGTTCAGCTAAAGCAGTCTCTACTCTAGATCTGAAAGTACCTGAAGCCGCTGTGAATGTGAAATCCGGCATAAGGAAGGATGGACCAGAAAGTGGACCCAACAGCCCTGCACAGTCTCTTACACCAGAGGCAAAAGACGTGAGCTTGGAAGCCAAGGAGCAGAAAAATGAGGACAGACAAAGCAATACACCTTCACCACCTATCAGCACTTTCTCCTCGGGCACATCCACAACTAGCGACATTGAAGTTTTGGACCATGAGAGTGTAATAAGTGAGAGCTCCGTTAGTTCCAGACAAGAGGCAGCAGATTCAAAATCGAGCCTTCATCTGATGCAGACTTCCTTTCAGCTCCTATCTACATCAGCTTGCACCGAGTATAATCGTTTAGATGACTTTCAAAAAATGACAGAGAGTTGTTGTTCCTCTGATGCATTTGAAAGAATAGACTCGTTCAGTGTGCAGTCGTTAGACAGCCGAAGCGTAAGTGAAATCAACTCGGATGATGAATTATCCGGCAGGGCTTGTGCTTCAGCATCTATTACAGTTGGCTCCTCGACACTGAAGACCGAGACAGTTGACTCTGTGAAAAATAAATCTGAAGAAGAATTGAATGAGATGCTTCTTGTGCATCCAGAGGAAACTGAAATGGAGGAGAGTGGGAGAAGTGCAACCCCTGTTAATTCTGAGCAGCCAGATATTTTGGTTGCTGCGGCTCAAACAGATGAAGAAGAAATGGTAAAAGTGGAGTGTACGGTGCAGCAGCAAGATGCTGAAACGTTGCCTGAACTGGACTGTGAAAAGGAAGAGCTTCGCAAGGTAATGAACATTTTTAACCCTGTGCATTTTGGAGGCTAAATTCAGCCCTGTTTTAAGTGGGTGAAACTACTTTGGCATCAGTGCATAGGCTTTGGTATGTACTTTACTTGTCCAGTATTTTTGAGCTAAATCATTCAATTCTAATAGAAAATTAAGTTCTTGATTCCCTTCCGTGTTGGAACTTGCCCATTCATCATTGCATAGAAGTCATCAGGGCTCTACCTGGGTATAAATACCAGTGCAGAAACCCGGCTGCAAGCATAGGGCCTTAATAGTAGAGCTCTCGTGTATAATTCTGGCTTCTTTGGCTGTAAATTTGATGATCCCAACCTATGAAGGGAACCTTTGACATTTTTTTTTATGATGGGGAATTATGAATTACTTTTACAGTAATCAGGAATCACATTTTGGATATATTTTGCTATGTAGACTTGCTGACTGTGAAACTCACTGCATGTAGCACCAGCTTAATTTTTTTAAAATGTGCTTTCTAGCAAGTGAAATGGCTTGGGAATAAGAACCACCTTTGAGCTATCAAAACCATGCTGAAAATATTGTCAGAATCACACAGTTTCTTAATGCATACCCTCTATCAGCAATATTTCTATTCAGAGATCTCACGTGAAAGATTGCATTTAACAAGTAGAAAGCCATGGGTTGTGTCTATGCATGTGAAAATACTGTGCATTAGGCTAATGGCAATTTTTATCCTTAACAGGCTTTCTTTAGAAAGACTAAAGCTACAAGGTTTTTTTTTTTGTTTGTTTGTTTTTTTTTTTTAAA